CTCCTCCAGCCCTCTGCACTCCTCTCCTGCCTCCTCCAGCCCTCTGCCCGCCTCTTCTGCCTTCCCCAGCCCTCTACCCTCTTATCATCATTTTACATTCTTGAAACCCAGTTTTAACATAAAGCTGCTCTGCAAAAAGTCACCCGTAACTTTCCAACAGCTCTGGGGAATGCTCTTCTCAATCCTCATGGCAGTCTTTAACCCTGGCCGTCACCATTTTCAAGGGACAAGTCTCCATAAAGAAGCAGCCTGAGCTGTTAGGAATCTGCCTTTGCTCAAGACACCTCTGTCTAGTAAGTTCTTCCTTTACCTCATTTGTCCCAAAAAGCTCTACATAATCATGTGAAAGTCTCCTTCAATCTGGGCAAAATCAACCCTCTGCACCCATTGTTCTCCGGTCATTCAAGGCCCTACTTTATATACATGCCTTTTGAAAGCATTCAGTTATGTACAGGCAGGTTATCACTAGCTATGAAGTTTTGTAAGTGCTTTCATTTTAAATTTCTTTTACTAAAATGTAATTCTGTGCTGTCATATATTTAATGCCCTTTCAACATATAATTCATCTATAAAATACAAACGTATATATCTTTTTATAGATATTCTCATTTTGGAAGATAACCAAAATATTTTTAAGGCTTATTGTTTTTAGCTAACATTTTTTTTTAGCCTACACAACTTCAGTTATATTAGAATTGCCTTAGAGAAAGAGTGCAGCATGGAACACCGCAGTATATCAGAAATACTTTAGAAAGAGACACTGCTATTGATTTTGCTCATAATTGACAGCGCCCTCCCCCTTTTTCTTTGGTTTGGAGCCAGTACTATATATGAGAATTTCCACTTTCATTTATGTCGCTTGTACTCCATGAAAATGTGCAGCCCTGGCAGTTACCCTGGATGGTTTTGCTGTCGTGATTAAAACACAGATGGAGCTCATCCCTTCCCTGGGTGTTTGATTGGCAGACTCTCTGTGATCAGCACTCTTCTCTGTTGAACACATCAGCGCCATCTGCCTTCCGTCTGCCTGGAGAGATTTGCCACAGCAGAGCTTCCTCAGCCTCAAGTGAACCAGTGCAAAGGATGTGCATTCCTTTTGCTGAAGCCATCAAATGATTCACTCACGAAGAGCTAAATAGAATATGTGAAGATTTTCACGACAGTAGGCTTCCAGATTAATGAAATATTCATTTAAATTAGACTTTGACGATGTGTCATTTCTCTTCTCTGATTAAAATATTTAGAGCATAACACAAAATCCAAAAGTCTTGAAAAGCCAAACTCTAAGGAAATTCAGCTGATGGGGCATTTTGTTTTCAGTGAGGTTGTTAAAATGATTTCAAACTAGGGTCTAGTGCTTTGAAGCATAGGTATGGGTGGCAGTCCGCTCATGTGCTTAGGAGTTTCAGAGCTTGAACCCAGTAAATAGTAATATACGTTCAAAGAGCATGCTAATTTCAATGTTTTATCACTTAAATAGATTGTAATAAATTATACTTCCTAATTTGGATGTTAGTATGAAGAATGGGCAGAAACATGTTCTTTTTCCACATCAACATTGTATGAATGCAGAGTGTAGCTTGGGTGCTTTGGAAAAGGATATATTTAAGATATTAGAAGACTTCAAACAGTGGCATTAGGAGGAAGAGGGGGAGATTATTAGTCTGTTTTAAAAATAGCAATGTAAGGAACTGGCTCAAACTTAATTACCTAAGTATGTAAGAAATATACTTGTATTGTGCTTAATAATGTGAATTGTCTATATCATTAAATTACAGGAAACCACTTTGAATTCCTCCTTCCTGTCCAAATAAATAATAAATATAATTAACACAGTCAAAAAGTACTTTGTAGTATTTATGGGAAAAACTAAACAAATATTCTGTTGTCCAGAGAATATTGGAACAAAGAAAAAAGGACTAAGGTTGTGAAATATTAGAAAGAACTATAGATGAAACAGTCCCATTGCCTGAGGTTTCTAAGGGCGTTCATTTGTAAGTGAAGGCCTTTATATTTAGGTGGACATTGGCCAATTTGTTCTGAAGTTAATCCCTTAACAGTTGGAATGAAAACCATGACATCCTTTGAAGGTGAATGAATGGAAAACCAGAAAAAATACTTGTGAATCTATAGTATCTTGTCATCCTTACCAGAATCTCTCAAAGGTGCATGTTGAATATCTACCCCCTTTAGTTTTATCACCATCACCTCTCTCAAAGCTTGGAAGCTTTCAAGGGAAGACTTAGAAGGAGAAAGAGAGGAAAGACTATTTTAACTTTATTTAAAAATTATATTTAGTTCACAGAGCAAACAGTTTTAGGAGCCTACATGTTCCAAAGGAGACAGACATGATATATTTGCTAGAAATCTCCAGGACCACTGCTGTAAACAACACAGAAATTTAGTGTAGGCGAACACTTCTCCAGTTAGGGCTTATCAAAGAATGACACACAGTTCTATTCTGATGATTTACCTCTTTTTCTAAATTCTTTCTGCACTGGTTTTATTTTCTGTTGACATTTACTCTACAGTTCACCCAAACAGGCCTTTCATAGTGATTGTGCATACAGTATGACTCTTCAAGAGATGTTTGCTGGATGTCATTTGGTACAAGGGAGCTTGAAGTATGTAACTGTGCGCCAGAAACTATTCTAATTACTTTATTTTACTCTCAAAAGATCCCTACGAGGAGAGGACCATTGTTATTATTAACTTATTTGGCAAACATTAAACTGCTTAATGACTTATCAAATCCAGTGGGGGGACTGGGGCTTAGGATACTGTACCAATACACTGTACCTACTGCCATTAAAAGATTAGCTCCTAGAATTTCCCTGAATGTGAACACTTCATGCCTCCTCAGCAATCTCATACTGAGAACAGGACAAGGGAGTCAGGATGAGAGTTACATGATAGGAAAATGGAGGGGGATGGGAAATCTGAGTGTCATGTGAGCAGCTCTCTGTGTTCTGGCACATGGGCACATTTGCCTGTACACTGTCATGATTGTCTGCCTATATCCTGCTACCGTAGTCCAGTTTATAACCTCTCCCTCCACCTGTGTCAGCTCTAATGGACTGGCACACATCCTGAGCACAAAGGGACAAAGACCATGCCTCCAAAGAGACGGGTTTATTCTTTCTTTCCAGTTGGAAAGGATTTCTAAGCAACTGGGTTAGGTATTGATTGGGTTGTAGGAAGCCCAGTCTCTGTTCTTTAATGAGAACAATGAAAGGTGCTCGCCCCAGGAGAGCCTGTGTTCCCTGTTGTTTGTTAGCTCCAGGCTCCTTGTTAACTTTCCCTGGTTCTCTGTTTCCTTGACACTGTATAAAAAAGGCTGTAGGTCCTCAAGAGCTCGGAAAGATATTTGTGATAAAGATCTGTCTAGTCTAACCGAACAGACATAAGAAATGTGCACATGGAAAACAATGTGGCAAGACCTGTAAAGGCATGGGGATTGATTGTAGGGGAAGCTACCTGTTGCTATGGTGACTACGCAGTTGTTTAAGTTTTTAACTAGAATTATACATTGGGGAACTTCATTTCATCCTTGTATTTTTTTTTTAAATCTCAGTAAAAGTAGCTTGAACTATTGGGCAAGATAAGGGTGCAGCTTTAAATCCTATCTCAAATCATTATTGACTCACAGCAGGCATATCCAACCTTCTGACATTGAAGCACGTCTTGTTAGCTACATGGTTCATACTCAAGAGCGAACACAAGTTTGGTAACAGCCGAATTTCCAAAAAAGAATAAAATCCCCAAAACTGCTCTTCCATGCTTTAAGTAGGTTCGTAGTTGGAGGTTGAGTCAGATTCTTAGCTGTCTTATGCTCATGGCCTGCAGGCTGTACACATGTGGTAGAAATTCTAGGGGCTCAGGAGAGCTGCCACGTTAGGCAGTGCAATAAAAGTGCTGAATGCAATGGCAGGTCTTGGGATTTACGTATAATGAGCTATTTTTTAATTTTTTTCCATGACTTAGTTATCATTTCTATGCAAAAAAAAAAAAATCTTACGGAGCAAAGGGTTCATTTCACTTGTACTTCCAGGTAGCATTCCATGACTGAGGCAACGCAGGGCAGGAATCCTGAGGAGCACTGCTTTCATGCTTGCTCTCCACGATGTCTTTAGCCTGTTTTCTTACAACTCCCAGGACCACCAGCGCAGGGTGGCTCCGCCCACAATGAGCTGGCCCCTCCCACATCATCATTAATCAAAAAAATACACCACAGGTTTGTTCACAGACCTGCCTTGCGGGGGCAATTTCTCAATGGAGTGAAGAGAAGCCCAGCTTCAGTTCCATTTTTCAAGGATCCTGGATTGTGAACAACAACTGAATTCCAAAATCAGGTTACAAAAACTGTAGCATATTTAACATTTCCATTTCATTATTTCCTAAAGCTTTTTTAACAAGTTCACAAAACACAGTCACTAAATGTATAATGCAATTAGAAGATGGTACTAGAAAATGCCAATGAGGCATTCTCTGGCCAACCACATTGCTCTGTTTTCCGGTGTCCATTTTCCTGATTCTGAGTCAGTCACGTTAAAAGTTTTTCAAGTGAACATAACAGAGATGGTTTTTACAGAGTTACATAATACAGAGAGTGAATATTTAAGAACTCTTAAATCATATCTTTTGAGAGTGGCATCTTTTCATGTTGAAAAGAGGTTGGATGGGTAAGAGTTACAGAATCAAAGGAAAGACAAAAGGAAACCCAAGGAGAAAGCTTTAGCTAGCTACCTTGGAAATAGTCCTCTTGTGCTTGGAAATTTTATCCTGATATCTGAGCGATAAGACTGTAAGAACCACTACAGAAGAGAATAAAATAATATGGGATAATAATAATAATAATAAATAATAATGTGGGATCACATTGTGGACTGAGCAATCCCAACTCCTCGGAAATAGAGTTGCAAAGTTCAAAGGTGAAGTGAAGAGTCCATGAGCAGAACCAGGCTGATTCAGGAAACCACCATTATCTCAGTAAACTATGAACAAGAGAATTACAAAAAATTAAAAACCATTTTATAAAACATAAGTGAGATTAAGTGGTGTCTTATAACACCCCACTTTTAAAGAATCAAACCTTTAAAATAGTGTTGTTGTTGTTGTTTTTCTTAAATCATTTTAGTCTGTAATCATCATGTAGAACTTTGATGTGGGGATAACTAGGTCTGAAAGACTGAACCACTGGGCAGGTCGATTCAGTTCTTCTTGCTTCTGGCCTGGATTCCCAGAAAGCACACTAGAACAGTCAAAGTACAATCAGGGTGAATGATTACAATAAGTAATCTTAGAACAAACTCAGGTAGGTCTGGGAATTGGCTGCATTCTCTTTCAGTTGGGCATTTTCTTCAAAGAGTTAGTTAAAACAAAAAAAAAAATAAATTAAGAGAAAGAAACCAACATATGACCCAGATTCAAGCTCTGAATGCTGGTAGACACAATTTAAGTTTCCTTCAAACCCACACAGTTCAGGCGCATACCTCGCTGTCTTTGTTCAGTGCTGACATTAAACCTAGGGCTTCTCATATGTTAAGCACACTGTCTTCCATTGAACTCCACCTGCAGTCCCTAAAGCTTGACTTTCATATCTTGTTTTCATGAATCCTTTATATAACAGAGACTTGTCTTGAATGCTAATAACATCACATAAAGGAATGAACTGACCACAATAGACCTTCTCCTCTTAGGAGAAAATTACCCAAATTTTTACTGTATGATCCAATTCATGTAGCATTCTTTGTATGTTTATTGAGCATTAATTTGGCAAACTGTTATTGTACTGTACTTACTTTACGCCCATAGAATTTAGTCATAAGGATTTTGTAATGGATGCTGACTTTGTAAATATCCGTCTTTATCTTTGTCACCCTATATAAAAGCGCAAGTTGCTATTTGTAGTCATTACTGACATAGTAACTTTTTTATTTAAGCTTCTCATATTAAATAAAAAATTGCCAGGTTTTTGTCTTTAAATATTTTTCCAACACTTACATTATATTTGATAGGGATTAAAACGCAGAATATAATTCACTGGTACTGTGTATAACTGTGATAGCTGGCATCTGGTTACCTTTCCTGCTGTGCAAATTTTTCCGTTTTGCTGTATCCTTTCAGTTTTGAAAGTTTCTAGGCTTCCTGGTTAAAGTGCTAAATCTCTGTCCTGCCCAGCTCCCCTCCCGCTGTTTCAAAAACAGGTGACAGTGTTTCTGAATTAATCCTATGGCAGTAGAAAGATCTATATATTCTTCATTTTAAAATTAAGAAATGTTGGATTGGGCAGAGACTCAACTGCTGCTGTGCCTGGCCAGTGTTCACAAAGCCCTGGTTCCCGTTCCCAGCTCCAGATTCGCTACGTCACTGTAATCCCTACACTCTGGAAGTAGACCCAGGAGGCACATAAGGCCAAGGCCATCTTCAGCTGTATAGCAAATTCAAGGGCAACCTGAAGATGCGTGATGCTTAGTCTCAAGAAAAATGTTTTTAATTAGGAATTTTAAATTTTCTAGAATGATCACTTTGCTATGTTCTGCTAAGGTGGGAATTTGGTGTGTCTCTGCTAAAGAGCCATGGAGACATGTTTTTGTTTGGAAATCTGGTCATGTTGTTGTGTAGACCTTTTAATAGGTGGAGCCTAGTGGAAAGTGGTTATGTAATTATTGGAGACTCCTAAGAGGGCTGCATGAGATCCAGGTCAGATATATCTTGGTCAGATTGAGCAAGCCTGATCTTCGAATCCTGGCTTCCTTGTCTTGACATGTGGGTGTGGTCTCACTCTGGTGAATGTTTCAGTTATGATGCAGTAGAACCAGAAGGACCACGAAAAG